ATGACATTGCAGTATGAAAGAATTAATGCTGTAGGTGGCGCAGGAGTCGAGATATTTGAAAATCCCGTGTTTATGGTGCAATATGGTTCATAAATAGTTGCGATCCCGTACGAGTGCGGACTTGTCGGACATAGTCAGAATCAGTCAGATTTTACTGGAAATCGATTCCGTACTCGGTTCTCTGACTATTGAGAGGACAAAAAAGATAGTAAATAAGGTCCTCTCTCTGTCAGAAGTTACCAGTTTTAGTCCGAAGATTTTTTTGTTGGTAAATTCTGGTAAATGTGTGAAACGATCAGCTGTAATGTGTTTGGCAACCAAATTGTAAACAAAAGAATTCATGTTAAAAAGTATTTAATTACTTGCTTAAGTGGATTCTAATGAATTTGAAAGTATTTTTGGTTATTTACACGTGTGAGCTGAGTGTGTTTACATACAAAATAAGCAAAAATTTACACCCAAAATTTGGGGTTTTTTTTTCATTTTTGACAGTTTGCTAGTTTTATTCCGAGGAATACGGGATTGTACCTAATATTTGGAAAGTATATTACTTAAATGGAAAGAAATTACTCCTCAAACATTTCTTCATTGGGTGGTGTAAGAGTCGATATATTTTACCTATTTTCGCAACTATGGTTCGTTTTAGTTTATATTTAGAATATATATTACCCACTTGACATACAGGGAAAAATTCTTTTTTTAACCGATTTGAAAAAAGGAGGAGAGTTATTAATTCATCGTAATATTTTTTTATGTATGTAACGGGTAACCTTGGACCACGTAAACTGTTTTCGATTGTTCTTTGTTATTGGAAAGGCGGTACCTCAAGGGATGGTCCCTTAATAATTTGGTTTGCTGTAATTTTTTAATTATCTGTTACTTTTCGTTTACATATTTCGTTTTATTTTACCTTCATTTCTTTTATCTTTATTCAATTTCATAATTTCGTCTAAGTTTTTAATCTGAAAACTCACAACTTCCTCCACTGGTATTGTACGAGATGTGAGAATTTGTACATTTACTTCTGTAAGCTTTCACATGCTAAATGTGAGAAACTTTGACGATAGCGCAACTAGCACAACGCAAGTTTCAACTGCCCAGTATTAGCTCAGAGACAGTTCTGAAATTTGTAGGGCGGAACTAGGCTCTACAGGACTTTCTCTAAATTTGTCGGCAGGGACTTAATATTACTTGTATATTTGTAAATGCCTATACATATGGGCATATAAATATGTCTATCACACATAAATGCTTAAAATAGTATAAAAATCCTACAGGGAATTATGTTTTGCAGGCTCATTTAGCTAATTTTAAGCTCACAAAGCGAACAAATAAAACTGGTATAAATTTAGTATGTATGTGTAGATGGCTGTTTATATATACATACATGTGAATATATATGAAGCTTAGCACTAATTAGCATCAATTTTCATCAGATTAAATAGCAAATTTCCATAGAAGAAAACTGATCAGAAATCGCCTATTGTTCTTTGGCGCCCACACACACAAGCAAACACATATTATATTATTGAATAATTGTGTACCGCAAATATTCAAAAGAACAATTGAGAATTTGCATATCTAATAAGGATTACGGCTATAACGATATTTTAATTGGACTATTTTTTTTTTTTTATTTTAGTCTTGCAAACCTTCTTCGGTTTCCATCAAAAACTACGATTCAGAATTTTAAAGCACAAACACATTTTTCGCTTTAATTAGTTGCAATTTTTTCTGCTGTCATTGTATGCGTTTCCATTTAAATTCATATCCGCTTGTTTACAATTACTCTTGTTTTTAACACACCTTAAGTAATAAGTTTTTCTGCGGTTTATAAATAAAATCACTGCATATTTTTGCATTTTTTTTGTTTTCATTTCAACATTTTTTTGCAGCAATATGTTGAACAGATATTCTCACAAATTAAACTTAAAATATGCATATTAATTGAATGATTTCATTAACTATATTAAATTTATAATCAGAGTACAAATGTAATTTAAAAGAAAATATTTGTGTAGCTCTTTGGCGCATGCTATGTGTTTTCATACTCTAATTGAATCTTTATTGTGTGCGTTGTAATGCCTAAAAACTGGTATATTTGAATGAAAAATTAAATATAGTTCCACGAAATTTTTAAATTCCTCCATATTTTTAGAAAGTATAGACCAAAGCTGCAAAATTTGCAAATCTAAGAGGCAACCACTCAATCGTTGCCAAGCATTTATTGGGAGGTGGCTACCGTTGAGCAAGACCTTTAATTTAAATTTTCTTGTTAAATCAGGAGTAGGATTATAAAAATGAAGCAATTATTATTCCATATTTCAGCTTGGAGAATGGTTCCCGGTGCAGAGGTCCACGCTGGAGCTGGGACCCGCCAAAAAACTATTAACTAATACGTTGAATAAAGTAACGCAGCATTGTGGGCGTCAAACGAATGGCGTTAAAACCCGCTTATTTCGAAAATATTTTTTAAGATGGTGGCCACCTGTCCAAAAAGTTAAAATCAATTTAATTAATATCTTCAATGAAATAATTTAAGAAGTGTGGTAGTGGTCTAAGAGTGCTTTATTTCAAAAATATTTTTAAGGGGAGCTGCCACCTGTTTAGAAAATCTAAATTAATTAAATGAAGCAATTAAAGAAAATATTTTAATTTCGGTATAAACGAGAGAAGCTTTACGAAAGCTGTATCAATTTGGAAAATATTTTTGACGAGGGTTGACACCAATTTAGCAATTTAATTGATAAGTTAAATGAAATCGTACTAGTCTATAAAACGATCAAAGATACGATATATCTATGCATATCGAAATGCGTTTAGTTATCAAAACCAATCGAGCTGCCGAAATAAATTTAGTTGTTAAAATATTTAGTTATAGAAATTTATGGAATTTTCAAAATTTATGGCTATCGCATCTTATTTACTTAGTTATCGATATTTATTGAGACATCAAAATTTATTGAGTTGTAGAAGTCTATTGAATTATCGAAAGTTGTCGAGCTATCGAAATATATTGAGTTATCAAAATTTACAATTTTACAAAAATTTATCAATAGTTATCAAAATGTATCGGGCTATCAAAATGTATCGAGTTATCCAAATGCATTTGGTTAAAAATATTAATCAAATTATTGAAATGCATTTACTTATCGAAATTTATCGAATTATCAAAGCTTATGGAAAGCTATCGAAATGTAAGTATATCGGGTTATAAAAATTTAATGAAGTTCAATCAGTTATCGAGGTTTATCAAAATGCATGAAACTTATAAACAGTCATCGAACTTTATTGATAGGTAAAGACAGTTATCGCTTTTTAACAAAAGTTAGTGATAGTTTTCGAATGTTTGCGAAATCGAAATAAAACCATACTTGTAGATAGTTATCGGAATTCATTGCTACTTATTGAAGTTAAAGATAGTTATCGAAATCGATAGAATAATGTAGCAATGTATCGATAGTTATGGGATATCAAGGAAAGGCATCGCAATTTACAGATACATAGTTAAAGATGTTGCACACAGTCATTGCATAAATACCTTTATTCGGAAATGCGTTAAAGCAAACCTTCAGTTCCCTCCATTTTTGAACTTTAATGGTTTCAAATGTTGAACCTGCTTTCCCTAAAATTTTTGGTAGCCCTAACTGCTCCAAACTTCCACTTTATTATACAAAACCTGATACCATGAAAATTTTTAATTAAAAGGTGAAGAATTTTTTAAATTTTGCACTAAGGTTGGAATTCTGATTTTTATGAGTTTTGCTGTAAATTTCTGGTCAGCTAATTAAGTTAAGTGACATGAAGTATGCTCGACAATTTCTTTTATATGGAAGAAAATGCACAACACAGTCAGCAAAAAAAAAAATTATTAAAAATCAACGCGATTGTCTAGCGTCTTGAAATTTGCACTTTCACATACTAAAATTTAATGGGCTATAAAACTGCACACCTAAACTTTTTCTAAAATATTTGAATAGAAAGTTTAAAAATTTTGGCTGTAATTTTTAAAGTTTTTTGAATTTTTATAATTTTTGTCCGAAGTTTGAAATGTGGATTTATATGGTGCTGGTTATGTAATGTGCTAAACTTTTATAGAAAAAAATTAAAAACATTAAATAGACAAAAGAAAATTAGCCAAAACGGGTTAAAATGTCAGTCAGCCTAATCAACTAACCACAAGAGTATGTGCGTACACATTTAAGCGCTTCGCTAGCCATCTTTATAGGTGCTGTGAATGTGTACATATGTTTATATACAATAAATATTTACAAAAGCATTCGTAGACACTTTTCAGTTTATTACATATTTACATTTCAGCATTTATCTATTTTCTCTATCTATTTGAGTTCGCTTGTGCCCTTGCCTTTGTTTATTTATTTACTTATACTCGCAATGCTCGATGTCAAGCAAGGTTAATCCATTTAGCTAAAGCTGGGCACATAAAAGAAATTTTTATATAATTTTTTTTTTTAGAGTTAAAGAAAGGTGAAAAATAAATGAAATTAAAGAAAATCCAGCATTTTTACACCATTACACGCATTTGTATGTATTTGTGCACAAATGTTCAAAAACAAAAACGCAATTCATTCTCGCGTCCCAGTTTATTAAAACACATCGCTTGGCTTTACTTGACAACCATTTGTCTTATTTAACAGCTGCACACACAACTTTTCATTCACCCTCTAGTCTTCTTTCACACACAAACAAAAAAAGAAAAGAGAAACAAGTAATGTAATAATTTCCCTCATTTGAGTTCACACAAACCGTGCCAAGCCAAGCGTCATGCCTACAATCACTCCTTTATAAGTTTATGTTTATACATAGATATGCGTGCGTTTACACAGAGCATCTCCCTTGTTCATGCCGACATTTATGTCGCTTTGTGCATACTTGTTTTTAGATTTACTATATACACTTCTTTTCAAGTATGTATGTACATATATATTTGTCATTGATATTTCTGTCTGCATGTGTCTCTCACTCATTATCTCACTCACCTGTCATGCGGTTCTTTATCCTTCTCCCGTTCATATTGCGTATCCGCCAGCGCGACTATCGTGTCGTTGTCATTTTTCTTATCCTTCGGCTTGCTGCCGCCGGCGCAGCTGACGGTGGTGCTTTGGCCTTGTACATTGCTATTGTTGTTGTTGGTGCCTGCGATTTCAGTGCCGCCACCACCGCCGCTGCCACTGCCAGTTGCGTGCTTGTCCTTGTTCTCCGTCATGCTGTCAATTGTTGTTGTTGCTGCTGTTGGGTGGCACTAGACAAGCGATTTTATTTTGTTATTGTTCAAGGTGTTTTTGTTTGATTAGATTTTTTTTTTATTTGTAGTGTTATTTTTACTCTTCTCACCCCTTAACAGCCCCTTAGCTTCATTTAATAATACATACATATATGTATGTATGTATACTCGTAGTGGCAGTTGTTGTTGTGCTTATGCAATCACTTCAATAATTCGTTATCACACTTTCAATCACATTTCCCGCGGCGCTATAGCTTTCATTGGCCTTTCACTGCCACATTGTTAAATCGCTGTCGCTTTTTTGTTGCTTATTTTTCATTTCGTTGCTCTTCGTAATCTACGAGTATTGCGTCAAATACCAGTGGATGACCGGGGCGTATGAGTGACGCGTTTCTGGTCAATTAATTGAAATTCATTTATTTCATTTACTATTTACTGTAGCTGTGACTCACATTTGATCATTTCGTGAATTCTGTTTTTCTTACCATTTAGTGTAGACAATTCTTGGTAATTGATGAAAGGCATTCGAATTAAATCAAACCATTAGCGAATGCGTTAATGAGCAATTGGATTTTTGGAAAACTAAACTGATGCTAATTAAGTAAGTGTTCATTAAGAGAAAGCTCCATGGTTTATATTTAAAAGGGATTTCTGACGAAATAGGGTATGTAATGCTCATAATTGATACACCCACACACTGCTTTTACGGTAATGCGCATTTTCTTTCTACAACGCGCGTTAAAGGTCTTTTTTTGTGAGCAACACCCTCCAAAAAAAAAATCCAATTGTTAGATTAAAATTGAATGGGCTTCAAATCTGCATACCCGAAAACTTTCCTAAGATTCTAATAAAAAAGTTTTAAATACAACAATTTTTGAAGTTGGATTATTTTTTTTTTGGAATTTAACTTAAAACTGGCACCCCCCACAAAAAATTAAAAAAAAAAAATCAATTACCGTTGCGACTTGAAACTTGCATTTTATTAGACCAAAATTGAGTGGGCTTCATAACTGCGTTCCTGAAAACTTTCTAAAGATTCTGATCAAATAGTTTTAAATTTTGAGCAAAATTTTTTGAAGTTTGATATTTTTTATTTTTTTTAATTAACTTGAAACTTGCACCTCGACTAAAATTTAATGGATTACAAAACTGCATACCCGAAAATTTTCTAATAATTCTCATTAAAAAGTTTGAAATTTTGATAACAATTTTTTTAAGTTTGAATAACTTTTGTGAAATTTGTACTAACTTTAAAACTTTTATTTATCTGGTCTCGGTTATAGATGGAATTATATATTAAATTAAAACTATTAAAAGTTAATTCACAAAGGCCGTGACCAACAAATTTTTTATTTTCCCGGAGAAGCAAAAAAAAATTTTGAAAAGAGTATCAAAAACAGGTAGGACTAAAAAGTGGCATGTAACTCCGTTTTTTTGGTACTAACACTTTAAAATTTTAATTCATTATTTTGATTCGGCTGATAAAATTTTTAAATATTTTTATGCAGACCAGCTCTTAAACTTTTCTATGTTAAACTTTTTTATCATTGGAAAAAATATTTTTAAAACCTTATTTTGTTTATAAAAAAGCCGATTTTTGGAGGTATTTTCTAATTGGTCTAGCTTACCTAAATCTCAATATTTTGCCGACATATTTTGGCGAAAGTTTTAAAATATAATAAGTTTTATAATTCCGATGGAAAAAACTATTGATTTTGAAAAGAAATAGCGCCTTAGCGGAGATTGTATATAAAGTTAGTGAACAAATTTTCTAACCTCTCTATCAAAGTTTGTTATAAACATCCTCTCATTATTGGTAACGCTGTGGAACAAAAATTTGCTTTAAACAACCTAAAATGCACATATAACAAGTTTGATAGCTGTTGTCCATACGAACAATGCCTCATACTCAATTTTACTAGCTCAGCTTATGTTCTGGTAAATAAAAAATTCATGAACCGAAAATCTGAGAATAGCGCCCAAACTTTTTTTCTCTAAATTTTGAAAATTCATCGTTTTTTTGGCCTGTATTTGCTTTGTATGTTATTTTCAACAAAAATAGGCCAAAAAACGATACACTTTCAAAATTTTGAGAAAAATTTGATTTGGAATTATTTTAGAGGTTATGCCCGGAGCTTTTGTTTTGTTTTAAATGTTCACGCTAAAAATTTCAATGTGATCCACTTTTTTACTTGAAATTAAAAAAAAATAAAAAATTAAATGTACCGGTAATTTTCAGTACTAAATGCTATGCCTACTACACATTAAATAAATTGATGAATTTTTCACTTTTCGGAGTGCCACCTACCTACATATGATTTATAAAACTATTGTTTTAAATATACCTCTAATTAATTCAATACTCATACAAATGTATCTATTTAAATCAATTGTCCTCTGTAATTTTCTCTGTAAACAATCTGCCTACTTTTTTTAATTCGATAACTGGAAACATCGTGTTATATTAAATTCAATTAACCCAAACTGCATTGCTTTGTTTAACATTTTTTGTTGCATTGCTCTTTTTTCTACGAATTTTTATCACTTGACCAATCATTCGCTGCCAACTTTTTTGCTTCAAATATTTATTAAATTTTTTACGATCACATAATTTTTTATTTTTTTTTATTACCAGATTTTCCACTTCAGTACATACGTGTTTTTGTTAAGTTCCTGAAAATAAAAAGTAAAAATGGTGAAATTTTTCTTTCAATTGCATTATATTTAATTTTATTATCTAATTTATGTTATGTCAGTTCTATGTGCTTTTTTGGTGAAATATTAAAAGTCTTCGGGGAATTAATCATTATCACTCTAGTGAACAAACTTAAGGCATATTAAAAATAACGCTATCGATTTTATACATAACACCCCGATTAGTTTGTTATATTTTATATTAATTTATTAATTTACATATAAGACAACCCAGTCGCTATAAACTGGTGGTCACAAGAAATAGCCATCTAATTTAAAGCATAAAAACAAATTAAGAAAAAACTAATAAAATAATAAAAATAAGAAAAAAACATTTCAAATATGGACCTCCGCTTTTGCATTCTACTCTTGCATTACCGTTCAAGTTTCAAAATGTTCTCTACACCTCGCTACAGGGTATATTACTCGAGTTACATAAAAGTACTTACATAAATATTTTTTAGCTAAAATAGTAATCGCTTTGTGGTTTTAAATCAATGCAAAGTTTTGCTATGTTTGAGTAAAAAAGTTTTGCTGTTCGTTTCAAAGAGTTCACTTAACTAAGCTGATTTTATCTAAATGTCCCCGAACTTTTAGCCATTTAAAGTTGCTCACACTACAGATAATCAAATATTCTTGAGCGCGTTTTATTATTACAAACTTTCGGTTATTTTAAGCTCCCTTTATTATTTACTTGTTTTTTTTCGCTTCTTTTACTTTCGATTATTGTTTTTGACACATTTCTCTTATTCATTTTATTACTCCTCTATGGCTTAAAAATAAACTACCAACTTTCGACCGCAATTTTGATTCACCAAATTGCCATTTATTATTTAAAGCGACTTTTCATCCATTGTTTTTGTTTATATTTTCTGTTATTTTTTTTACAAATTTTACTTTGTTATTGGTTTTGTTATTGCCAATAAAACTTTTCTATGAAATTAACCGCAATTTTGTCATTTCCTAGCTGTTTTCAACAAACTTTTCACAAGCACATGATCAGTGTTGCCAGGTCATTGAAGTGAGTAATCGTCTGTTTTTTGCTCAAAAATCGTCATTTGCATGCAAAAAATTTTAATAGACAGAACCAGGCAGCTTTTTTGTTTTTTTTTCTTTTTTTTTAATTTTATTGTATTCAATCAGAATATACGTAAGAAATAAAATTTTTAAAATCCGGATTACTTTTAACAAAAATATTTTTAATTGCAATAAAATCACATTTTTTTCAATCTGCATCTAACTTTTGTGCATTAAAAACTGTTCATACTTACAAGTTTTGCTAAAGAACTTATTAATTATTCTCTTCTCTCAATTAAATGTGTACCAGTACACAACGTCACAACGCAAAAATTTCGAATTTCACCGCCAAAAACAGCACAAATAGTGATGAAACAATGAAGAAAAATACTTTTCGATAACTACTTTAAGTGCTGCCGCATGATATAATTTCAATATGACAATTATGTATTAGCAGAATTGGTAAACTCTCAAGAAGTGTTTACATTGCTATTTTTAGTTGTCTGTGAAACTATCTTCAAAGTTGAGTACCAGCCTAATTTGCACATAAAGAAAAATCGTCATCTTTAAAATGACGGACAAATTGTCAACCTGGCAACACTGTACATGATTGTCCTTCGAGCTGCAGGCTTCACATGCAGCCACAGAGTGCTAAACATTTTACATTCGATGAAGGAATCAAATACAAAAAAATACATACAGATTTTTCCTGCGTATAAGTTTATTCCTTTATTAGTGTGTGTGCGCAGAATTATCCTTTTGTTTGCTATTTTTGCACGCACTCGAATAATCAAGTATTTATGTCGTTACTGTTCTTTATAGGGTACATTTATATGTATATTTGAAGAAATTTAATTTTCCCACAAATTTATAAATACATACATATGTACATAGTATACGTATGTGCGTATACGTCATGCTCCTAAATATATTAATTCGTACAGGAAAATTGTATGAATGTTACTTTAAGCGTATAAAAGTTGAGTAAATATTTTGTTGGTTGGCAATGTGTTTCATAGGATTTTATTTAGACATTTAATTCCTGCATTCGCATAAACATTCATTTATTTATGGATTACTAACAGTGGTTCACAAAAGTTTACGCATTACGCCCTTGGCGTAAAGCCCTGAAAAAGTTGAATTTATTTTTTTCAAATATATGTAAAATAAATATGTAACTTATTTTGTGTTTTTACTTAGTTCACGTTCTCTTGAAAAATTGTAGATTTTTTGATAAAACATTGTTGATCTAACCAAGCTTGCTCAAAAAC